ATGCAAATCAAAACCAGACTGAGTCCTGTCATCACAGCACTCGGGAGGCTGAGGCAGGAGGATCATTGTGATTTCGAGACCAGCCTGGGCTACAAAGTGATCTCAAGGCCAGACTGAACTGCATAGCGAGATCCTGTCTCAAAAGGACAAAAAAAAAAAAAAAAAAAAAAAAGAAAGAAAGAAAGAAACAACACACACACATACACACACGTACTGAGATTCCATGTCACTCCTGAAAGAATGGCCAGGATCAAGAAAACCACCAGTGACAAATGTTGGAGAGGCTGTGGGGAAAAGGGAACTCTCCTACACTGTTGGTGGGAGTGCAGACTGGTGCAACCACTGTGGAGGTCAGTCTGGATATTTTTCAAAAAGCTGAAATTGGAAGTCCCTTTTGACCCAGCTATTCCACTTCTAGGCATATTCCCAGAAGAACTGAAAACATCATACCACAGTGATACATGTGCACCCATGTTTGTAGCAGCACAGTTTGTAATAGCCAGATCTTGGAAACAACCTAAGTGTCCATCAACTGAGGAATGGATAAAAAGTTGTATTTTTATATAATGGAGTACTACTCAGCTATAAAGAATGATCACATTGAGATATTTATAAGTAAATGGACACAGTTTGAGACCACACTCATAAGTGAAATAAATCAAACTCACATGTATAAATACCGAATAGTCTCCCTAGTGTAAGAAATGGTAACAATACATAAAAGTATGTGAAAATCATGATTTCCCATTATATGGCTTTGAAGTCTTATGATGTTTGTATTCATTAGTTGGAATGGTTTTATTCCAGGTTGTTTGATTTTATTGTCTATGATGGTATGAACAGCTATTTTGAAGAAAACAAGGCATTATAATAGCTACTGCTGATTTTATATCATATTTTTGAAGTCCTACCATGATTTTTTGTTCTTCTGTCTCCATCGGTCTTATCATGTTGTTTATCTTATTGGATTTTATTATATGTGATAGTATAAACAAAAGTTTTATGGACAAGGAGATAATATAGAAACCATTGTTTGTTTTCTATTGGTTGGTTCTGAATACCCTGCAATACTTTCATTCTCTTGAATGGTTTTACACTGTCTTTTTATGTTTGATACTATAGTGTATGAAGGTATGCTCAAATATCTCAAGGAAAGAGATACTATGGTAGTTACTGTTATGTCGGATTATCTTGTAGTGAAACACTATGTTGCTTAAATTGCTCTGTCTGACCTGTCTTGTTAAGTCCTCATTTATCTTAATCTCTTTTAAAATTAAAAAAATACCCTAAGTTCCTTGGGTGATGGAATTGAAAGACTATTTGTCATAACTCACTCAAATAGGAAGGTGTAGAACTGGAACATAAGCCTAGACCTACTAATACTTGTCTTTTGTCTCTTTGTTTAGAAAACACAGAGAAACACTGAAAATGTTTGATAAATAACAAATTTTATAATTATCATATCTATACTTTTTAATCTTCTATATTATATTTTAAATGCAAATTTTCTATCATTATGAATACACTGTACAAGGGAATCCAATAAGTTTTCAGTTATAAAGTGCATATTGAAAAATCAGTCATTCTGCATATGTAAAAAGTTGATCACAGAAAATAATAATAAAAGAAAATATGCATGAATAATTATGTAATGCTGGAATGGACCCTTTCTAAGTGTGGCAGCAAGAATAAAATGTGAAGAAAAATTGGATTCGATTTTACCACATAAAATTGAATTTACTTACTTGAAGGCTGAATATTATATAAAGAGTTTTTAATAACATAAAGATATAAAATTGTGATTGAGTGACAATTATTTTATTCCTAGCATCTTGCTTATTTCATTTTGAGTTTAAGAAAGTAAGATGACTTAATTCATAAGCATGAGTAGTTACATAACACGTCTGGGTTGTTGTTATTGTTTTATGGCTTGCTTTGCCAATCCAGGATACTTTTCTATTATTAAATTAACTCAGAAGCTACAATAAAGATTGACTGGCTCTGCTGAAGATAACAGTATGCAATATTACAACCATTGGTAAATTCCTATCATCTTGTTTTGAAAACCTGTGCTCTTATTGTTTGGGATTTTTTTCTTGTTCTTGTAGTTGTTGTCTGTATGACTATTGTTCTCTGTTTTTCTTTTCTGTATTTTTTCTCTTTTAAATAAAATAAAAAATTAAAGAGTGGTAGAAATTTATTATTTTGAAAGTAACTTACTGATAATATTTAGCAATTCCTCAGACCCTCTAACTGCAAAAGCTTTACTTTGGAGAAAGTCAATGAGTGAATGAGGTTATAGTTAGTGTATGTTTTAATTTTTAATAGAGATAGAAAGCAGTTTTTCAACACTGCCTGGCAACTGCAAGATCATGAGTTTGACTCTCACTACCAAATTTCTTCAAAGACTTCACTTCCTAAAATTTTACATTCATTAATGGTTGACTTTATCAAATAGTTTTCCCAAAAGAGTCAAATTTATTTTGACTTTATGTATTGAATAAAAGTTGATATCACTTTTAACTCTGACACTTCATTTGCAGTTATCGTAAGCACAGTAATTTTTTAAGCCTATGTTGTTAAACTGAAATTGTTCTACTTCCTAGAATTTTCACAAGAACATATAAGTTAAGGCAACCATTTTTGCTTTTGCAAATGATTCATGTAATAGAGTTATTTGTCAAAATGGTAGAGTTTGTTTTGGGCTTAATATACATTCATAGCATTGACTTAGTACACTTACTGTGAAAAATAAATTCCGGAATCCACTGGCCATATCATTAGAAATAGCTGACAAATGTAAAATTAAGGTCAATGACTCAGTGAAAGCAACAAATGATATGTCATCATTTTATATAGTTTTGAATGATATTCACAACTCATTTGACAGGGGAAACATTTATGAGGGAAAAGGCAGAGAGGTTCAAAAGAAGTAGAGACAGCTTTATAATACAATGCTGATGTTTTCCTTATGAACAAGACAGTAAAGGAGACTGACAGGAGTCTTGAAATGCAGTACTGTGCTAGGAACAGTCTGACCAGGCTCTTGGGGGAGTCCTTGAGCTAAGGCGTCTTATCAGAGGCATCCTGAATCTTCGAGAAATGGGTCTACTTTGGGATCCTGGCCATGCTTAGTCATGTGCTGAAGGAGATCTTGACATGAACTTAATGGGATTTCCAAGCACAACCTCTAGAGTTGTCAGTTCTTCTATGTGCATCAAGAGGTCTCAGTATAGTTTCCTGTCTAACAGGGAGTCTGTATATAAGGACAGAGAGATAATGGGGCCACATCATGTAAGTCCATGCAGACCATTGAAAGAACACTGAAATTCGTTTTTAGTGAGAGTTGACTACTGGAGTTCCAAACAAGAGATTTATGTGATTTCAATTACATATCAACAGGAATATTCTATTTTGCTCATAAAGGTTAAGAAAATGAAGACAAAGGCCGTGACATGTGTCAAAGGCTATTTTTTTAAAGTGAAGTGAGAGATGATATTAGCTTGGTGTCAGCCCATTCTGTGTTACTGTGACAGAATAGAAGAGATGAGTAACTTAGAAAGAAAAGAAATTTATTTGGCTCCTGGGCCTTAAACTTAGGAAGTCCAAGACTCAGGAGCTAATGTCTAGGAAGGGCCTCCTTGGTACATTATAACATTGTGAGAGGCATCAAGTGGGAAAGAGAAAAAGAGGAGACTGAATTGCCTTTATAATAAGCCTACTCTCAAGGTAATGAACTCATTACAACAATATCAACATAATTTCCTCATGACATAATCACCTCTCAAAGGTCTTTGCCTCTCAACACTGCTGGATTGGTGATTAAGTGTCCAAAACAAACTTTAGAGGGTACATTCAAACCCCACCATGTGGCCTACGACTTTGGCAACAGAGCTGGTAAGATAGATTCTATGCATATACTTTAAAATATAGCCGATTGAAGTTGTTTGTGGATTAGATGTAGAGTGTAACCACGATAAGTGAAGAATAATTTGAAGAATTTAGCCTGAGCAAATGGAAAAGCAAAGTTTCCATTGACACAGATAAAGAAGCAGGGTTGAGGAGGAATTATCACATTTTCTGTTTGGATGAGTTAAATTGGAATGTGCAAACAGAGATTCCAAGCCTCGTGTAAAGGTAGATATCTAGGTGGATATAGAAATTTAGAAGTGATGATTGCATTTTTACTTGTATACTTAATGTTTCATAACTAGGTGAAATCACAGGGAATTTAGATAAACAAGAAGAGAGGACCGAGAGCTGACCCTGGGGCACTCGACATTAACAAGCACTAACAGTTGTGCTGGAGGAGCAAGCAGAGAAGCTAAAGGAAATGTGGCCATGCAAAAGTCAAGAGAAAAACAAGATTTCAAATACACCTACCTATATTATGTGATAATGAACCTACCTCGTGTTCAAGCACGAGGGATTCTCCCTTACATTCTATGAACACAGGTGTCTGTCACTGTGTGAACGTGACAGCCAGTTTATCGTCTACCCTACAGCTGACCCACCACAGAAGCTCATTCATATCCTGTGGCAGCAGACACTGCCTGGCCAATGACATCCAGGTTCTTTGTGTGATTCTGCAGCAGTCTTCCATGTTAACATTGTCTCTTCAAGGTCGTTACATGTAGGCCAGGGGTAGAAAGGTGAGGCTCCTTCCAGCATCCATTTAAACTGGATGCTGAAGGTTGCAGTCCTGGTTATCTTGATAACTTCAGTGTGGATATTGTCACCCTTCTCCCTCAGCATCCATAATTTGCATGATTTCCCAGTTACCTGCACTGACATCTGTGAATGTGAAAGCTCTTGAAATCAGCTAAATTTCATATAGTCCAGAGCATAGGTATAAACTACAAGTGTTAGGAAAATGATGCTAATCTTCTAAATAAAACAGAGGAGAGGAAGAGGGAAAAGAAGAGGAAGAAGAGACACCCAAGTCAGCAGCAGTTGTACAGCAGAGAGAGCTTTAAAGTTGAATCTCTGCTTCTTCTTACCGTATGAGCACAGGCCCTCCTCTTAACATCTGATTCTCCTCTTCTCCAGTTGTCAAACTGGGGGATAGTGTCACTTCTATGGAGTAAGAAAACATAAAAATTTCCAGGCGTAAGTAAGTTAACCAATCAGTAAATTGATTTACGTATATCAAAGGCAATCAAGGAGGGGTGGCGTGTTGACTGGTTTATGCTAACGTTGTCTAATGAATCAAGAAGTCACTAACCTATCTCTTGGCCTTTGAACCATGCCACCATTTTTCCATTTCTTGCCAACCAAAAGGCATATCTACCACTCTCCCTCTTTACCTTAGTTAAGACTCATAGGAGTACACCTGAAGAGAAAAACCTGTATCATGTCCAGTACCTGACATGCAAAACAGTTTCCGGCCTCCATAATACAGGGAAACGTGCTCCAAAGAAGTTAAAAGGACTGGTAAATTAGTCACGGTTCTCTGTGTGCTCTAGATTGCTCAGACAGACTACGGTATCTATGACATTTACCCACTGGTGTCATGCATGTGGATATGCTAAATAATAGGGCCAAAGAACTTTGCAGATGAACTCAAGAAAGGGAGAATGCTCTGAACTGTCTGTGTGGGTATAATGTAATATCATAATCCTAAAAAATCACAGGAAGTAGCAAGCTGCTGCTGGAGAATGTAGAGAAATTTAAAGCCTGAGAGGGTCTCAATCTCCCGCTGCTGTTTGGAATATGTGGGGAGAGACATGGAATGACATGGAAACCACAGGAGGAACTAAATTCTTACAAAAATCACAGCGACCTTGGAGGTTATCTCCAAGCAAGATGCTCAAAATGGCTCAGGTCTGCTGCCAACTTGATTTTCTCCTTGTGGTACCACGAGAAAATTATTTGGTCGAAGCTGCCTAAGAATAGTAACAATAAAAATGGGTACTGTTTTAAGTTGCTAAATTTGTCCCAGTTGATTATGGCAGCAGCAGAAAGCATGTTCTCCGAGCCTGAGCTCAACCCCTTAACATCACCTTCTGTGCCTTTTGCTTCCTCACCCAGCATGATGAACTCACTGGCCAGGCCTCTTAACGCTTCCCGAGGGACTGTGCTGGCATTCAGCCTTTCCTACTCCTGCGTCCACTGCCCTGGCTTAACTGTATTTTTCTTGGACTCTTAGAGCAGCATTTTTGTCTGTTTGCCCACCACCAGCCTCCCAGTACTGTCAAACTGGTCCACTTTCATCACTTATTCTAGAAAAGTAATGCCTTTGCATATTTCTGAATTCCATATGAAAGAATATATTTCTCAAGTAATTAATAAAATATTAGATCATATCACTACTCTGCCAGGAAAACAAAAGAAGCACTTGCTCATTTGTCAATTCAGCAAATATTTGTCAATTTTGCCTATTATGCACTAGGCCCTAGAAACACAATGAGAGTGGGAGACCCTGACTGGTTGCTCATTAAGCACATCTGTGCTTTTCCTGGTACACAGGCCACATTTCTCAGCCTCCTTCGCTGTGAAGTGTGGCCATGTGACTGAATTCTAGTCAATGGAATGTGAGCAAAAATACTATGTCACGTCCAGACAAAATTCTGAACACCACACAAGCTATTTCCCTTGCTTCTTTTCCTTGTTCCAACACGATCAGAAAAGCTCAATACTGAAGGTCAGAGCCAAAGATTTTGGGGCATCAAGAAGGCAATAAATTGAGTAGCTAAATCAATAATTGGAGTGAAGTCACCTCATGAATGGATTGATACCAGTATCATTGCAATGTGTACCTTGAAAATTTGCTTGCTATGAAATGAGTTTGGCTCCCCCTCATTCCTTCTCTTGCCTAAGTGATGCCTTCTACCATATTTAGACCCAGCAAGGAGTCCCTCACCAGAAGCAGCCCCTCAGTCTTAGGCTAATCAGCTTCCAGAACTTAGAGCCAAATAAACTTCTATTGCTTATAGGTCCCTCACTCTCTGACATTTCGTTACAGCAGCACAAAATAGACTAAGACAGCACTCAAGAACATTTGCATAAAAATGTATGCTCTCCCTTGGATGCCATCTAAGTAGCATACCATTATACAGCCTGCCTTAGCCAGCTACAGTCAGCCAGGGTCTCATGCATTAGGTAGCAAAGCAACTCACTGGCCAATCAACTTGCTGAATACATCAGATCATTTTGGTGACTCAGATCCCCTAAAGAGTCTGCAGCATTTTTTCGAGGTGAAGAACCAAAGTTTGCTTGAAAATTTTTGTTAGCACTCTGTAAATCACAGGGCTGAGGACATTCTCTAATCCAATTGTCAACAGGGATACGATCACAAATTCTCTTTGTTAAACCAATTTACTGACTTCCTGGTATAATTAGCTCTGGGTCTTCTATTGGGAGTTAGCTTTCTAACTGTGGCAATTCTAAGTATATCAGAGTGTATTCACACTGGAGGTTTATTGCTTTACCTGAGTTGCTTCACATCTGTTCCATAGAAAAAACCCACCTATTTCCTGTACACATTAGGTAAAGGTGAAGTCATATTTTTAGAACAAAGCAATAGAGATATTTCACCTCAAATGTCTCCTTTGCATATGAGTTAGAAGTATAATCTCTGGCCCCAAAAGGGAATCACATCTTCCCAAATGTTGCTCATTTGTTGATAGAGGGTTGCTTCAGAGAATTGGGAGAAGAGAAGGAAGATGAGAGAAAAGCTCAAGGAAACCAGAAATTGGGGCATAGCCAAAATTCTTACTGATGACCTCAACTCAGAAGCTGACTCCAGAAAACATGTGACATCAGTATGTGTTTTGAGGGTTCCTGGATGTCAAAAACAAAAACAAACAAACAAACAAAAAACCATGTGGTCATAGTGGTCACATGCTTGCCAGGAGTAAAAGGGAAATAAACTCTACCAGAGTATGCAGACATAGCCTGGTAGAATTTGTAAAAATCAAAAATAACTTAATTGTTTAATCTAAAAACATACCAAGAGCCCTTTGAGAGTGGAGAAAGAAAGGACTTCTCCTTCATGCTGGTGTTCTCGGGGTGGGAGCTTAGACTCACCAGATGAGGTTCTCTGAGGCAATGGCACTATTTAATCATGTTTCTTGGGGGTTTTGTCCAGCATTATTGGTGTGTCTCATCCTGTACACCCTGAGAAAGGCTCCTCTACAACTTAGATAATGAGAGCTTTTATTTTTCCTCAAGATCTTGAGGCCTTGTACAACCACCCCTGGCTAAAACAGTATTTCAAACTCAATTAGTCATTTTATTTGCCTCACATAACAGAGAAATGACAATCTTTGACACATACCATTATTCCACCTGATCTATAAAAACCATTATTTCTGAACATTTCCACTGCAGCTACCTTGTTCTGGTTATCATTATGACCTGGATTGTTGCAGTTTCTCCAAATGGGTTTCCTCAATTTTATCCTTGCCCCCTAATTTTTATTCTCAAAACAGTAGCTCTACTAATCACTGGTTGTACTTAAGTTAAATTGTAAATCCTCCTATCTCTGACTAACATGATCTAGGTTTCTGTTGTTCTTTCCCGAATCTTATTTTTATTCCTCTTCCCTTCATGGTCTTCTCTTCACAAATACTGGCTTCCTTGCTGTTCCTTGGCCATGCAAGGTTATATTCCTGCTTCCTAACATTTGCTCTAGCTGTTCATGGTAACAGTTATGAAATCTTTGCCTGTATCAGATGCCAACACCTCCTTAAGTTTTCAGTTAGACTACAAAGGACCATGACATAAAAAAGGTTATATACATGTCTAAGATTAGAGCCAAAGAAGCAAAAAACAGATAGGCACTGATGGTGTCCAGAGAAGTCTGACATCCTGCCAAGACCACACAAAATGAGCTTTTTCTCTGGAAGCAAACTACAGAGACAAGTATAAAATGACTCACCAAAGGAAACCCATTTGAGCCTCAGGGTTAAAGGATTTTATGGGGTGAGGACTTGATTCCATAGACACATCTTACTAGCAATCTACCATAGCAACTAAAATTCAGGACCCCAATGATAAAACCAGGTGCATGTCATCAATCTTAATGCTTTTGCAAAGTAATTATCATGACAACTTGGTATGGCACAGTTTATTTCTTCGGGTGTATACAACAGAATATCCAACTCCTCAGTGATACAAAGAACTTTCTGAAAAAAAAAAAAAAAGAACATTCTGAAGGCTACATTTCCAGGCACTCACCAAAAGTAAATCAAGAATACTTGAAAACATTAAAGAAATCAACAAGAACTGCTATGTTGCGACCCCCACCACACTGCTTCATTTGGCCATATTCTTGTCTATACTGGAATACATGTCGCTACCCTTTTTCTTAGCCATTTTTCTCATTGCTGAGACACAATACCCAATACTCACAACTTAAAGACGAGAGGTGGGCGCATGTTTTCAGTCCATAGTCAGCAGTTCCAAGCAGGAAAGCATTGCAGAGGAGCACAGCAGAGGAAAAGCTGCTCATGTCAGGATGGTCAGCAAGTGAAGAGTCAAGAAAAGAGCAGGGGAGGAACATAGACCCTTCAGGGGACGCCCCCAGTGGCCCACCAGATGGACCAGATCCCATCTCCTTACTGCAAGTCAGTAAGAGCCCGCATAATCCAACCATTTTCCAAAAGACTCCATGGATATGTGAGGCCTTGGGGGCCATTCTCCATATAAACCATAAGACCTAGATAAACACCAATACTTATAATTAAAACCACAGATCTAAAAGAATTGTGGAAGTAGCTATTGGCCATGTAACATAAGCAAAAAGTAAGTGCAGGTATTTATGCTTTTCAGAACTAGAGAAAGTAAGGTTCTTTCTTGTTGTGGCAGAAGCTGATTAATGAAGCATTTCCATGAGAAATGCCCTTCCCTAGATAGCTCTTGGCCTATTCTCTCATGCCCTCAATTCTGATTTTATACTTCTTTTTTAGTATTGTATGTCTGCATACATAATAATGATGGTTGCTTGGGGGAATTAGTACATGCATATAGAACACCTTGATCATTCCCAATCCCTATAAACCCTTCTCCCTTATCTCCCACTTCCTTTCATTCTTTACTTAAATCTCACTTTCTCAAAAAGTTCTATACTGATC